CCCTGTCACTGGTCTTGGCAAGGATATCCATCTCGAGTTTGCGTCAGATCGAAATCGTCAGATTATTGAATGAGAGCTTTTTTTGTTACACTTAACATCCCCTTAGAAAATCTGACGCGCTTGATTAACTTTTTTTCCACTTTTAACCCTTACAACCACCCACATCATGCAAACGATCAGATTAACATACCAACGTTATTGAGAAAACGTAGGACATTGATGCTATCAATATTTGATGCGCTCGAGTATGTCCATGCAACAGTATTTTTTTACATATTTGAAAATCTATAGCCGTTTCCCCCACCGATGAAAAGGTATATATTATATAACATTTTTTTCTTCTTAACATCTAAGCTTTACAACCTAATATGTTTCAATGACGCTCGAGTAAATCCCCATTTCGCATCGTGGGCTCCCCTGCTACAAAGAAGGCAAACCAAATCTTTGGAGTAGTGTGGAATGGGCAGTTCCTCTAGCAGAGTACAAGCCATCAATTCTAAATCCAGAAAACGCCTTTGCGCATTATCCAAGGTTTCCTTATGTACATTATAGAGAAAATACCAAATCAAAGTAACATTCTCTGACTTGGGACGAACGAGAAATGTATTATTAACCATGCCTACCAAACCAGTATTGTGACCCGTCACAAAATCATTTATGAATTCCAGAGATAAAAGTCAACAATTGAGCGGTGCTACTTATACCGTTGCTTTTATCGAGTGCTAGTGAAAAATACTCGAATTGTGAAGTTTTTTTTTTTGATTTATTGAACATATCAGTTCATATTTTCTCAATACGTCGAACTACTGTTTGTGTAGACAAACTGATATCTTCAACTTTTTTAATTTTTCCCTGAAAAACTGCGTTACATCCGTAAATGGTTTGATATGTTCAGCAATTAATTTCGAAATACGTGAAGACGTTTTGACCAATGCTAAACTTTGTTCCTTACATTTCCTCGAAACGTTTTGTTGTGGTTCTAATGATTTTCGTAAAGAATCAAATTTATTTTCTGAAATGAGATTCATATTCATCATATTCACTTTTCTGTTTCGTGTCTTAGTGGCGACGCAAATTAAATTCTTCGAATACGCTCATAGATTAATTGTAAATTGAGCAAAGTGTTTTATCGTAATTATTAATAGATAAATAATCAAAAGTCCACTTTTTATTGAATTCCAGTTTTTCTCATCGATTTCTCTTTTCTTTGGTATTTTATTCATTTTTCCAACGATAAAATATGAATTATTTTACCAATTTACCAATAAGACCTTTTTCCCCGAAGCCCCGATACATTGGGGAAGGCGCCCCAGCATAATCAACCAACGACCACTCTCCACACCGTGGGGTAAGTGATCATTGAATCCGAGCATCAAATGCCCTGAGTATCCCTGAGTAGGCGCAATGAGGCAAGAATGCCTTCTACATACTTTGGAAAGATTTCAAATGAACTACGTATGAAGGTAGTTTTTAAAACAATTCATACACTTCTGAGCCTTTTAGGAAGTCAAAAAGAAAAAAATGGAGAATTTAGAAAAGTCTGGAATTTACGAAATTAAATGTGAGGACTGCAATGCAAAATATTATGGACAGACAAAAAGATCTATTGAAATAAGTAAGATATAAGGAACACCACTTAGCACACTTAAAATATGGAAGACCTGAAAAATCAGCAGTTGCAATAAAACCATTCTATAGACTTCAGTTCATCAAGATTGGTTAGACAAGTTTGCAACAACAAGCATCTAGATGCTTATTATGAATAACGATGGTAGACCAATACCTAATAGTATACTATATAGCTTGTTGAAATAATATTTTATTTATTTGATTTACCTCACTATTACATAAGGACACATTGTAAAATTAATTTAAGACTATCGTTTCAATAAGTTTTTCGACTTACGTCGAATATACAAATGAATCATGCATGTGTATATCGTTATACCTACTTTTCTGACTGAAGTGCTGATTTAAATATCATTTTCGTCACTGCTTCTTCGACTGATTTCAGAGTAAGAGAAATATTTGTAGAGTTTGACAGTCCTCTGCAAAGTATTTTCTATATTGATAAAATGTTGAGTTCGAAATGAATTTCAAATGTAAACAATCACCTTCCAAAAAGCTATCCGAAATTAATTCGTGAAATTGTTTTCACTGCCAGTTAGTTTCCATTACGAGAACTTCCAACGAAAATAAACTAGCTAGAGTCATTTGAGTGACCAGAATTACAAACAGACATACATATTATAATATAAGAGCCTGTGGGAGACCGACCTTCACCCACCTGGTAACTTGATGAGATATTTTTCATCAAATATAATTGATTAACAAAACTGTCTACAATAACTTGTCCATCAAAATGCGTTCATAGCTACTTTTAATTGAATTAATTTTTTTCAAATTTTTTTTCATCATCTTCACACTATTCATAATGGAATAAATTTCATATAAACTGATACACACAGAATATGCCTAGGTAGGGTTGCCTATTTATTTCTGTACATGTATACCTGGCAACGAGATATGAACAGGAAAGTCAATATAGGCAACTACACCTTTGTTAACCAATCGAAATTGATATCATAGTATCATAAGATATTTCAATAAGAAAACCAATTGTATAGACTTGCCTGCAAAAAATCGTACATGAAATATTATTGCCAAGCTATAAACCTTTAGAATTGGAGCTATTTGATAGTGTCATAGAGAAAGTAGAGCGTCCGAGATCCGTGTGATAGAAAAGGACACAACATTGCAGCTGCACCCTACGTGACCTTTGAATATATACAAGTGCGCATCTAAAAATGATTTAGTTTAATGTATAAGTTTGAAAATGTCCTTATAGGACGAAATTGCAGTAACGTTAATTACTAATGAAAGTGGTAAAAAACATAGAAAGTTTCAATTCTTTTTTCATCATAATGATTTCCCACCACTAAATCTATCATTTTTAGATGCGCAACTGGATATATTCAAAGGTCAGGTAGGGTGCAGCTGCTGTGTACTCTATCACAAGGACCTCTGGCGCTCTACTTTATCGCACCTATCAAATAGCTCCAATTCTAAGACTTTATAACTTGGCAATAATATTTCATGCACGATTTTTTGCAGGCAAGTATATATGATTGGTTTTCTAATTGAAATATCTTATGATACTAGGATATCAATTTGGACTGATTAACAGATCGGTGTAGTTACCTATATTGACTTACCAGTTCATATCTGCTTGCCAGGTAGCCATCCACAGAAATGAGTAGGCAAGCCGACATAGGCATATTCTGTGTGTTGAAAACTATTAGTTATATAGTTGTCTTGTAAAGTTATCTGATGGGTGAAGGTCGATCTCTCACCGTCTTCTCTACAATCACGAATATTGAAATTGTGAAGTGTTAGTATTCATCATAAATAATAAGAGACTGACAGAAACATCCAGTCAACTGAATTTATTGCAGCAAAATGGAAATGAATCAAAATATAAACGGATATAAAATAAAATATTTTCATTCGTTTCAAGTCTGAAGAAATATTTTTTCCATAATAAAAGCAACGTAAATATAATTACTATTTTTTCTACGACACTTTCATTAATATAAACCGACCATGAATGAAATAATATTTTTTTCTGTAACTGAAATAAAGTTAGCGCTTTTTTTGTTTCAATTGAGTAACACTAATAATTAAAAGTACATTCTCCTTTATGGGAATAATCCAACCTTCAAAGCTCAGTTACTCCAATTGTTAAACTATAAAAAAGACCGGATAGAGGACATATTCGAGTGGCACCAGATACAATCTATTATTGAATGATATCATGCTAAGCAAATGAAAACATCAGAAACAAAATGATAGTTGGTGACTAGAAGGTAAATATAAATAGATGTTATTAGGTATCATGGAATGATTCCGTAGATTTTATTTTACATATTTTTATTTTCAGAACTGTTATATTGTCATATAGAGATGAAGTTAGAGGCTTCCATGGACAATTCAATAAAAAACATGAATTAATTTTGTTAAATTGATGGATATAGCTAACTACATTTACAACTAATTTTGTGTTTAATGAACATGAAAATGAAAATAGTGAAATCGTACTCTACTGAAAAATATATACTTTATACAAACGATAATCCCATTTTTATTTCGTCTCAATTCAAGTATTATGAGATATTTTTCAATTCATTTCGTAGCACTAATTGTTACCAATAATCACAAATTAGTGAATGATGAAACAATTGAATTTCTCGTATTATATGGTTTCAGAAAAATGTGAGAAACTTGCCTGTTCAATTCCCATCACATCGTTCGTTTGACTTTTGACTTCTCCTTCACGTTTGCTTACGTCAAGTGCCACCAAATCTTCTTTCGAATAACTCGATTGATAATCAGAACTGGGCATATCATCATATTTGGGTAAAGAGTTGGAAATTTCCTAAAAGATATACTCATGTATGAAAATTATTCGAAGAGTTTTATATTTCCAACCAGATGCTCATCTGAATTACCTCAGGGTGGAAAAAATGCACGTCTGCAGTGGAATATTATTATGAAGAATATTTGATTTATTGATATTTTCACAAGGATACATACTAATAAGAAAAAGTTAGCTGAAAAACCAGAAATTTTTATAAAGTTACCACCAATCAGTGGAAGATTTTATCACAATCAAGTCTATATGTTCGCTTTCATTAATCGAAAGTATACTCACGTCGAAGATATTACTTTCCGCTATTCCCTTTAAAAAGTACGATGCTGGGCTGCCGTAAACCACGTGTAATAAAATCAAAATTCTCGGCCACGTCATGTCCTAAATGATGTTCACCAAACTTTCTCACTCCTCGATTCGTGATAACTTACCAAAGTTTCATGAAAGACTGTAATAACCCATCAAATCAAACGAAGAGTGACAGTTCTGGTAATTTCACAAAACCAATAATAAATACATTTGTATTAAAAATTTATTTCCAGTATTTTGAAATACTGGAATGTGAAGGAAGAACAAGTACAGAAGAACAGCTCAGTTTTCAACAATTTCGTTCAATTTCTCCTTGTTGAAAGTTCATTTGGATAACCAACATGCATGTGTTTCAATCATATATAATTAGTTTTTCTGTATTATAATTTGAGAAAGGAAGTTATGTAATTTAGTGCGACGACAAGACACAATTGCCTTACCGAAATGTATTCAATTTTATTTCACCTCAGTTTTTGATTGCACATAGAAGTAAATCGATAAAAGCTCAGTAAACAGTATACAGGTTGTTCCTTTTATCATGTGGTGACATTGCCATATTGTGAACCTTAAAATTTGAGCACATTTGAATAGAAAGAAAAGTAACTATCGTGGAGAATGCTGCAATAATCAACGGAAACTTAAATAGATGACTCTTTTTGAAGATGCTATTTTTGATGTTCCATGAATATAATTTTCGTTTCAGATAATATAAAAAAATTGAAAATGTTTAATTTCATTCGAAAGTTACGATAACGAGTTGAAAATAAATCTTAGGAAAAACGTTACGTGTTAACACGGCCACCATCGTTTTTATTTTCTGATACAGACCTGTTCCTTCTATTACAAATATTGATAACATGCCGAAATCACAATTCAGTGGTATATCACAGTCAATATTTCTATAGCGTTTCGTTTGAAACAATCCTGTCGTTAGTCCTTTTGTAAATTGTTTTGTTCTCTGCAAAACGTATTGAACTACTGGCACATCCCTGACATTACCCAATGATTTCGATTAGAACATACCCAAACATAACAAACATTAATATTTTCATTAATTTTCATATTGGAGTAATCCTTTTTTCGAAGCTGATTTCTGCTGAATTATTTTTTATACGGAATATTTTCATGGTTCCCAATAATGGAAGTAACGGAAACATTAAATTTCAGTCAAAATACCATTGTACCAAATAGAAATNCTGAATTAATTTTTATACGGAAAATTTTCACTATTCCCAATACTGGAAGTAACGAAAATATTAACTTTCAGTCAAAATACCATTGTACCAAATAGAAATATTCTCTTGGCAAAAAATATATATGGTGAAATATACACGAATTGTCGTATTCCTAACATTCAAATGTTCAGGTGATTAGAAATAAATTTGAGAGACTGTGGTGCACTTGACAAAAATGAAACCATGAAATATGTTGTTGATGGAAGTAGGTTAGGTTAGGTCCAAATTGAGCGGGTTTATTCGACCCTCCACCGCAACCCACAAGGATTTATTTTGGCTCACACCTATTCATACTCGACGAAATGAACCCAGCTTCTTAACGAAGCCGATTAGGTTGTATGGTGAGTGGTCTTTCAGGTCAGATGGTAAAACTACGTCTCTGTCCAACTCTTAAAACCTGATTCGGTCCCCAGCGGGGCAGGCACAAAGTATGGGCTGTGCTGTCCGAGTCTCTGCATATGATGATACAAATGATACTGGCCTGTAAGAAGGCCTGTTAGTCATCAAAGTTCATCCCTACTGTAGTCCAACAACTGTTTGGTATCAAGTTTTGGAGTGAGCCAAACCTGGAAGATTCTGCCAGACGTCCATAAATCTTCTTGTCATCCAGATGTTCAATCCTTTTTTGGCAAAGCCAGACCAGAGACAATCTGTTAAGTCTTCCTGTCGAGGATAGTCGTTTTTGGCAATTTGCCACCTACGTTGCTCGGTAGGAGCCAAGAGCTTCCAACGCCGCTTGACTGTCCTAGAATATTTTTAATGGAACTATGAGTAATCAAAAAAATGTTTTACGTGAGCAACTATTACCTCATAAAGATTGACTTTGTGAAAACACTTTTTCTCAGGATTGGTCAGTTACAAAAAAAATCAAATAAGGATTTGAGATGTCTGTAAGTTTACCAGGAATATTAAAACAAAACAAGTACAAATGCGACAAAATACGTCAAGTTCATCATCTCACTAAAAGGGATTACGGAAAAAGAATACGATTTTTGAAGTGGTCAAATGAAATGCAAGTGCAAATGAACATTCACATAGAGAAATCCATTTACAGGAAAGGTTCGGAATAGATGAGAATTATGGGAACATATTTGTTTTTTTTGTCACTATGAGCATTCGTGTGGTCAGTTTATTGGCTACTCAGATGAATTTCCACTGAACATCTGCCATGAAATACAATATTTCACAACTGTGCAGCTCTCAAATACACCAATAGTAGGGAAATATTTACATGCCATATCCCCAAAAAAATGGATTGAAAACACTGAACCGAATACCCAGCCAGCTCGATCCCCAGAGCATACTCTTTTAAATTTTTATTTCTGAGAATACATGAGTTCTCTCAAAAATTCATAATGGAATCAATTGATTCCCTATTTGATTATTGTCGCTAGTTATTTCAAATAGAATGCTACAAAAATATTAAATGCGAGCCACTGCTGTGTGATTTTATTGCTTCATTAATATTTGCGATGAAAGGTACAAATCCATATTTGAAAACAAGTTGATGATTGCCGTGTTGACACGAAAAGTTCGATCTTATCGCAAGATACGATTCGGCAGAAAACAATCCTGCTAGAGTAAGTATGTGAAACAATTGTTGAAATTAGTTTTGAGAAATCCTTTGGATAGAAGTAAAATCAGTACTTTTTAGGACAGAATTAATTTCACCCAAGATCCCTTGGAACTCTGGAAGTGAGCATGAAAACTTTTGCTGCGATGCTATAACCACTGGATGATTTCTGCCTTACCGAAGAAATGATCTAAGTGTGACAATGAAGTAGTTGTTATGATGAAAATTCTTCCCTGAGAGAGCGATTTGGAGAGTTGATGTTATTTCTGAAAATATACGTTTATAATGAATAACGTATGACCAAGGACATTTCTACTTTTGATATCAATAATTTTTGCTAATAACTTGATTGTCATGATCATCAAAAATTGTAAATACCATTGGGCATATGTGAGGTCTTTGAGGACCACCTGATAGTAATTTACTTTATTCGAAGAATGCATTAAATGCAAATTTCAAAGTGTCACATGATTCAAGCTTTGCAAAAAATAAATGACTGGATCTATCAAAAGCCTTGCAAAAGTCGGTATATAATAGTATTCGCGTAGTAATACATTTGTTGAGTGGAATTTTCACCGATAAAAAAGCGTCTTGTTCGCTTATTGTTACATTTTTGAAATCCCATTATTGACTTTTGCGAAAACTGATATTTCATTAAAAGACTCTGAAACATGAATATTTCCTACTACCACTATTATTCAAGTTGATGATTGAACACTATTTATGTTGAGGACAGTAGCGTAGCCAGGAATTTCGTAAGAAGGGGTGGGAGGCAATACCAGTGGGTCCGGCGGTAACCCTCCGAGAAAATTTTTTGAAAAACAGGGTACTCAATAGGGGGTTTTAAACTAATTTTAACACTTTTCAAAATCGAAAAAACTTCATATTTCTAAGAAATCTTTTTTAAATTCATTATTTTTCGAAATTTTATTTTTTTTAATGATGAAGCAAAGTAATTGTGTTTTTTTCAAATGAATATAGTGTTGTAGTTTGGCCAGTGCTTCAAACTCATTCAAATAGATGAGTAAGGCTAGAGAAACAATTACACATTACATGAATGAATTTAACAAAATAAAGCTCTCAATTACAGCACTAATATCCTATTTCCACTTCTGACCACTTCATCTATTACTTCGTCACGGTTGATTGAAGGTTGATTGATTGACAGTAGAGCAAGTCCATTTAATTGTTCATTCCTCAAAGAATATGTCAGATAGCTTTTAACACCGCCATTGAACTACCTGAGCGGACGAGCTCAGACGTATCGTTTGATAATTTATGATTTAAACAAAAGGAGAAACCATCAATGGTATGAAAATCACTGTAGTTTCTTCCCAACACCAAACCGTTATTGGGGGTGATCACTTGGTGATCGAAACACGTATCGAGGTGTTAAAATAACGGTTTGGTGTTGGGAAAGAACTCCAGTAATATTCATTACTACACCAAAGGTTCTAAACAGTGCATTACAAGTGCAACAATGGTATGATAATTTAATGTTTGTAGACTCTTTTCGGACTCTCCGGACCCCCCTTCGTCACGCCACTGGTTGAGGAATTTCTGAAGATCGCTCAATCAAAATGTTCTCCTGATTTTTCTCGCTGTTCCATAGTCACGTATCTCACGGAACTATGTTTGAGGGGTACTTCTAAACATGCTCCCCGGATTTTGACACTGCAAAAACGTGCTAAAAGGATCGTCGTTGGACTGGCTCCTCGCGAATCTTGTAGAAAGTATTTCAAACAATATATTGACCATTTCACCCATTTTATTGCATTTTAGTTCATTGGAAATTGACAATACTTGTCATATATACACTAGAAGTGATACAACTCACACGGCAAGGTTCTTTTCTTATCAATAAAAAATTCAGGTTGGACACCTCATCCCAGAAAAGCCTGAATCTTGATGTTCATAACGTTTTGCCAGAGTCTTATACACATTCGGGCTATGCCAAATTCAAAATGAAAATAAGAAAAGCTTGATAGCCTCAGCGGTGATTGTTACTATTGTATATGCATACATATACATGTGGCATGTGCGCCATATGCATCTCATATTCTCAGGCAATATGATATTCAATTTCAATATTTGCCTTGTTTGATAATAATATCTTGTGTGTATTTCATTTGACCTGCTACACATATTTTTTATATAACGTAATCAATAAACTTATTCCGTTATCTCTCTCTCTCTCTCAGTCTGAAAATCATAAGGAAATCAATTATATTGAAACCCACTAAGTAGCACTTGTTTGTCGTAGTATGTTACACTTACGAGTATATCTCTTTCATGCAAATGAACAACTAGATTACCGTTATTTTCCTGGCCTTACAGTCCGACCAGATCACGTATTGGTCAATCATTCGCCTAGAACATGGCGTTCAATCGTTCAATAATCACTGTGAATTCACTAATAACTCATTACCTTTCAATAATCCAATCCAAGGCGATCCGGATTTTTCCAAATATGTCCCAGATTTAATTGATATAGTTGATTTCAGTCCGAAAACCTGTATGTTATTTCGTAATTTTAGTTGTTTCAGCAA